TTGTCAGGCCATGCTGTGGCGGCGTCCCATATACAATAGAGGAAGATGCACGTGGATGTTAGCACAGGGCCAACTTTCCCCAGCAAAAAAAAAAGAGAGAGAGAGGAGGATTGGCATTGGATGTTAGCTCAGGGCTATCTTGCTCACCAAAAAAATTAAAAAAAAAAAATTTGTCCTGCCCATTAGCCATCAGGGAAGTGCAAATCCAAACTATAATGAGATACTACTGCACCCACGAGAACAACTATAATGAGACAATAAGAGGTGCTGGCAGGGACAGGAAGTTCAAACTCTCATACACTGCTGCTGGTGGGAAGGTAAAATGGTGCAGTCACTCTGGAAAACAGTCTGGCAGTTCCTCAAAAGATTAAACATACAGTTACCATATGACCCAGCATTTCCAAGCCTAGGTTTATACCCAAGAGAATTAAAAGCATATGTTCCCACAAAGACTTGTACATGAATATTCACAGCAGTATAGTCACAATAGCCACAAAGTGGAAATAACTCAATGCCATCAGGTGGTGAATGGTTAAACAAAATGTGGTATATCCATACAATGGAATATTATTTGGCCATAAAAGGAATGAACTACAACCTGAATGAATCTTAAAAACATCATGCTGAGTGAAAGAAGCCCGATACAAAAGGCCACACAGTGTATGATCCCATGTATTTGAAACGTCCAGAACAGGCAAATCCATAGGTACAGAAGCAGATTAGTGGTTGTCAGAGCTAAGGAGGAGGAATGGGGAGCAACTTCTAATGGGTATCAAGTTTCCTTTTGGGGTGATGAAAATGTTCAGAACCAGACAGAGGTGACAGTTGCACAACTTAAAAGCCACTAAATTGTACAATCTAAAAGGGAGAATTTTGTGGTATGTGAATGATACCTTAATTAAGAAATATACCAGTAGAAGTTGGCCAGGTACAGAGGGTAAAACAGTGGTTCAGGCACAAGAGACAGCAGGGGCAAAGGCAAGGAAGCCAGACACAGGCTGGAAATGACCATCTGTGGGAGAAGGAAAAGAGCCTGCAGGACGGCAGTGCTGGCCAGAGCGTGGCCTCTCCCCTGGAGTGATGGCGACCCTCAAAGGGTGTGGGGCAGGAACTCAGCCTGCAGTCGCCTCTCCTGGGAAGGCTCTGGTCGCCCCAAGTCTCGCTCCTTCTCACGCCCCCTCTGGCAGCTGCTGCTTCTCCCTCAACCCTCAGGTACTGCTCAGCCCTGCCTCTCAGGGCCCACACGTCGCTGCCAGGCTGGGGTGAGTTTCTCTTCCCACATCCCAGGAACACATCCCCTCTGTGTACATCCTTCCAGCCCCTCCATAAAGGAAAGGCTCGGGGCAGAGTGCCCTCTGATCCCAGCTTTCCCCCTGCCTTACCGAGGGCCCCTGGGGACAAGTCCCAGAGCTTCTCACCTGCAATAAAAAACACGGAGCTCCCAAGCCCCCAAAAGACATGGAGGAACCTTAACTGCATCTCACTAAGTGAAAAAAGCCAGTCTGAAAAGGCTACACATTGTGTGATTCCAAGTGTATGATATTCCGGAAAAGGCAAAACTATGGGGACAGTAAACAGAGCAGGGGTGGCCAGGGGCTGGGGGGCAGGGATGAAGTAATGGAGCACAGGGGACTTTTAGGGCAGTGAAACTATTCTGTATGATAACAGACCGGCGGATACAGGTCATTATGCGTTTGTTGAAACCCACAGAATGTACACCACCAAGAGTGAACCCTAAAGGAGACTGCGGCTTGAGTTAATCATAATGTATCCACATCGGCTCATCAATTGTAACAAATGCAGCACACCGATGCAAGGTGTTAATAAGAGGGGAAAGAGTGGTGCCTGCGGGGTGGGAGAGTAGACGGGAGCTCTCTGTACTTTCCACTCATCTTTCTGTAAACCTAAAACTGCTCTAAAAAATAAAGTCTATTGGGCCGGCTCCGTGGCTTAGTGGTTAAGTGCGCGCTCCACTACTGGCGGCCCGGGTTCGGATCCCGGGCGCGCACCAACGCACCGCTTCTCCGGCCACACTGAGGCCGCATCCCACATACAGCAACTAGAAGGATGTGCAACTATGACACACAACTATCTACTGGGGCTTTGGGGGGAAAAAAAAGGAGGAGGATTGGCAATAGAGGTTAGCTCAGAGCCGGTCTTCCTCAGCAAAAAGAGGAGGATTAGCACAGATGTTAGCTCAGGGCTGATCTTCCTCACACACAAAAAAAATAATAAAGTCTATTAATCAATCTAAAAAACAAATACAGGGCCGGCCCTGTGGCTTGGTGGTTAAGTGCACGCGCTCCAATACTGGCGGCCCGGGTTCGGATCCCGGGCGCGCACCAACGCACCGCTTCTCCGGCCACACTGAGGCCGCATCCCACATACAGCAACTAGAAGGATGTGCAACTATGACATACAACTATCTACTGGGGCTTTGGGGGCAAAAAATAAAATAAATAAAATCTTTAAAAAAAATAAAAATAAAAAAATAAAAAAATAAAAAACAAATACAGAGCCTGATCGAGCCTGATCCTTAGAGTCAGCAGGATTATTTTCTCACCAGCCCAGAGATAACATCTTAGGCTGCTGCAGCCAGAGTTGCAGGCTTTGGAACAGAAAGGTCCCCGTTGGGCCACTGTCTTGCCAGAAGCCCCCGGCGTGACTTCATTCCCCCTCCCTGTGCCTCAGTTTCCTCATCTGTACAACGGGGACCACGATGACACCTTCAAAGGTGGTTGTGACGTCTGAAGGGATGTCATCCAGGATGCACTTCCTTTGTCAGCACACCAGGGGGCTCCATCCCCACTGGCAGATCCTTCCCCCGCCCTGAGGCATCTCTAATGTTCCACCCTGCATCCATCTCCTTGCAGACTGGGGGGTCCAAGGACCAGCCCCACACCTGGATGGTTCGTCCATCCTTGAGCTGGCCAAGGCCTCGTCCACCCCCACGCATCCCCAAGGTTGCTCCCTCAGTGCCCCTCCAGCAAAGGTTCTGTCATCACAAGCCTTTCTTCCTGTCTCCTGAAGTGGAGACCAGAGGAGACAGACATTTTAATTCAGGAGGGGACAGCACAAGGTGGGAGTTGAGAGTACAGATTCCAAAGCTTGATGTCCTGGGTTCGAATCCCAGCTCAGACAGTCACCCTCGCGGGCCCAGAGGCTTTCACCCAGTTATGGCCACACCTGCTGGCCCCGTACGCAGAGGGGCACCCTTCCTGGGGCAGCCAGACGTTCCAGGGCACCTCTGGGCCATCCTGCGCACCTGCCGGAAACACAGGCAGGCCGGCCGGCCCTCTTCTGGGACCACGGAGGCTGGCACAGGGCTTTGGGAGGCCCCAGAGGCTACAGGGAGGCAGCAGGAACCGGCATGCCCTGGCCCCCAGGCCTTGCAGGCGGGGGAGCAGGCAACAGGGGGCAGCAAGAGAAGGCCGAGTGTGTCTTGCTTGTGTCAGGCGAGCATGTGTTCCCAGCCTTCTGCAACTCAGAAAGGGTTCCGTGCCACACGGGACAGACAACGACGCACTGCAGCCTTTTTCTTTTTGTTTTTAAAGATTTTATTTATTTATCTTTTCCCCCCAAAGCCCCAGTAGATAGCTGTCTGTCATAGCTGCACATCCTTCTAGTTGCTGTACGTGGGACGCGGCCCCAGCATGTCCAGAGAAGCGGTGTGTCGGTGCGCGCCCGGGATCCGAACCCAGGCCGCCAGCAGCAGAGTGCGCTCACTTAACCGCTAAGCCACGGGGCCGGCCCTGCAGCTTTATTTCTTAACCTCAAGTCGGAAACGAAACCTCGGTGCTTGGAAAGGCCCATGTGCAACAGCGCAGGGGCACTCGCTACCGGCCCCGCTCGTCCAGTGCCAGGCGGAAGGGCGGGCTGGGTGGCCCGCCCTAACGATGGGTGTCTGGGATGAGCCACCAACAAAGCCAGTGGGGATGTCCGAGCCATCCTGACAGGGCTGAGATGTCACCACCAACACAGGGTCTGAGCTGTCACTAGCAAGGCCAGTGGGGACATTCAACAGGCTGGCACCCCCAAGGCCGCAGAGGCCATCTCAGACCCCACTCCAGGCAGGAGACCTCCCCCACCCCACTTCTGCCACTCCCATGGGTCCACCAGCAGCCACGCCGATGGGGACACCCAAGAGTCCTGTGCGGGGCTGAGCATCTGAGCAGTGGGCCCAGCAGCCATCCAACACAGCCTTCTGGGGCCCTCCAGCAGGAGCTCCGTGGAGAAACCTGAACGTGGACACCCAGGCAGGGGTGACATCCAAATGGTCCCAGTCAATTCTGGAAGCTTCTGGGGCATCAGAAAAGGCAAGCAGAGCAGGGGAGACCCACCAGGGATGGGAAGTGCAAAAGGCAATTGGCCCAGCCTGGGAGAGATTTCCAGCTGACCTGGAGGTCCCCTGCCAATGCCCCCCTGCAGCCAGGAGGGCCGGGCAGACCACCCCCGGCTCCTCCGTTCAGCAGGGAAGCCAGAGGGCCTGCCTGGAGTTCACACAGACAAGGCTACAATGTCCTGGAGACAGCAGCCTGGGCCAGGTGGGGCTCGCTAAGGCACAGCTGAGAGGGAGGGAGGGAGACCCCACTCTGGGTCTAGGGCCCCGCGGGGATGACTCACGGAGGCCGGAGGGCAGCTTGGCCCTGTACAGGCCACAACCCCAGGAAATGTCCACTCTGTCCTTGCAGGAGAGAACAGGGCGGGAGGAGGAGAGACGGAGGGAGCGGAAAGAGGTGAGGGCCGGCGGGACTGAGGGAGGCCGAGAAGCAGGGAGGAGAGACTGGCACAGACGCGGAGCGGGAGGAGGGCAGCGCAGGCACCGGGGAGAGGAGGGTGAAGGTGGGAGCGAGACGCCACTCCTCCGAAGTCCAGGCTCCGGTTTCTCGGCCCCAGGACGGCCCCACCTGGTGCAGCTCGGCCGCCCCCGGGCAGGGCTGTCTGCCTCAAGCCGCCTCGCTCTCCGGGCCTCGCTGGGGGTCTCTGGCTGGTAAAGGAGAAGAATCAGAGGGCGAAGGCACCGGAGCAGATGCGGGTGTAGACACCCTGGTCCAGGGGCAGGTAGTGGCCCTGCTTCAGGTCCAGAAAGAAGAGGCGGTCCGCGGTCTGGCGTGGGTCGAAGCCCTCGTGCTGCAGCCTCGTCTTCTGGATCTTGAAGGTGCCTGTAGGGGTGGATGTGAGGGGGGTTGAGGGTGGGGACCCTCAACTCACCATCCTCTGCTGCACCTCCAGGCCTCTGCACAGGCCATCCCCTCGGCCAGGAACATTCCTCCCCATTTTGCCTGCCCGATCCCCCTTGTCCTTCAGATCTTGGCTTCATGCCCCCTCCTTCAGGGAGGTCTCCCTGACCACTCCCATCACAGCCTGAAACTCTTGTCCACCCCCAAGGAGACCAGGGCTGGGTCTGTCGCACAGTAGGTCAAGGGTCAGCAACATGTGGCCTGAGGGCCAAATCTGGCCCACTACCTGTTTTTGTAAATAAAGTTTCATTGGCACAGAGCCACACCCATTCATTTACACACTGTCTATGGCTACTTTTGTACTACAATGGCAGAGCTGAGTTGTTGCAAGAGAGACTGTATGGCCTGCAAAACTGAAAATATTTACTCTCTGAGTCTTTAAGAAAAAGTTTGCACTCCCTGCAGGGGACAATTAAAGAAGAGTTTTATGAAAGATAAGGCGAAGGGTTAGGGTTAGCAGAAAAAATCGAGGGAGGATACCTGGGTGCTCTAGAGCTGGGAAGGTTTTATTTTGTTTTGTTTTAATTTTTTTTATTTTTTCTTTCTTTTTCTTTTTTTTTTTTGGTGAGGAAGATCAGCCCATGCTAAGACTCCTCTTTTTGCTGAGGAAGACCGGCTCTGAGCTAACATCTATTGCCAATCCTCCTCCTTCCCCCCCTCCCCCCCGAAAGACCCGGTATATAGTTGTATGTCATAGCTGCACATCCTTCTAGTTGCTGTATGTGGGATGCGGCCTCAGCATGGCCGGAGAAGTGGTGCGTAGGTGCGCGCCCGGGATCCGAACCCGGGCCGCCAGTAGTGGAGCGCGCACACTTAACCACTAAGCCACGGGGCCGGCCCAGGGAAGGTTTTTTTAAAAAGACAAAACTTCAGGGGCCAGCCCGGTGGCGTAGTGGTTAAGTTCACACTCTCTGCTTTGGTGGCCCTGAGTTCGAAGGTTTGGATCCCACGTGTGGACTTATGCACCGCTTATCAAGCCATGCTGTGGGGGCACCCCACATGAAGTAGAGGAAGATGGGCACGGATGTTACCCCAGGGCCAATCTTCCTCAGCAAAAAGAAGAAGATTGGCATCAGATGTTAGTTCAGGGGTAATCTTCCTCACAAAAAAAATAAATAAAAAAACAAAACTTCAAAAGTACAAACCATAAAATTTTTTTAAAAAGGATAAATTTGCATCAAAATTAAAGGTTTCTTTTGGATGAAGGCTGCCATGGACAAAGCTAAGTTAGACTGCAAAATAGGAAAAGAGACTTCCAATGTCTGAAACCACTAAGGAATTAATACCTAGACTATTACAAACTCCTGTAAATCAAAAAGTGAGGCAATGCAAAGATGGGCGAAAGATACGAACAGGTGATTTACAGAAGAGGAAACCTCAGAGGTGCCAGATGAGTTGCTCAAACTACCCAGTCATCAGAAAAATACAGAAAATGAAGAAACACACCACACATTTCAGGATGCCTAGTGGGGGTGGGAGTGAGGAATGGAAATAACTAACTGCATGAATAAAACAAGAGAAGGGCCCTGCATGAGCCCACAGTGCCCGCTGGCCATAAACCAAGTGTTAGACTTGGCACAGGAGCCAGAAGCAGGACAAATAAGTAAATGGTTGCTGAACCAACAGACGGATGGACGGACAAACAGAGGGGCAGGGGGCCGCACCCGTGGTGTCCACTTGGGGCAGGAGGCGGAGGAAGATGGGCCGGGCGTAGGGCGCCAGCACCTTCTGTAGCTCCTGGTACAGTGCATCGGGGCTCAGCTGACCGTGGGGGTCCGCAATGGCTGCCATGCCTGCTCTGCCCTCTACTCCTGGAGACAGAGGCTCGGCTGAGAACACCCACCACTCACCCCACTGTGGGAACAGACACACCCTCAAATAGTGGCCCCTGGCCTCTGACCTCCAGTCCCTTCCACCTGGGATAACACTTGCCGAAGCAGCAAGCATTTTATTGAGCTCCTGCTGCACTCCCTGCAACCCTGAGACAGAGTCGCTTTTGCTTTTTTGTGTGTGTGAGGAAGACCAGCCCCGAGCAACATCTGTTGCCAACTCTCCTCTCTTTTTTTTTTTACTGAGAAAGATCAGCCCCGAGCTAACATCTGTGCCCATCTTCCTCTACTTTATATGGGATGCTGCCACAGCATGGCTTGACAAGCAGGGTGTCGGTGCGCACCCGGGATCTGAACCTGTGAACCCCTGGGCCGCCACAATGGAGCACGCGCCCTTAACCGCTACACCACCAGGCTGACCCCTCAGAGTCACTTTTGTAATCTCATTTTCTGGATGAGGAAACCGAGGCTCAACATCACCCATGAGGGGTGACTCCGGATCCAGTGTTCCCACCCAAGCTGTCGTGTACAGCTGTCCAGGTTGTGCACTGCCCAAGGGCACCTGTACCTCCAAGCTCCTCCTGGCTGGGCTCCTCTGGGGCTGCCATACCCTAAGACCACCCCCACAGCCCCAGCTTGCCTGGCACGGCCACCCCATACACAGCCACATCTGTTTGGCCCAGCAGGCGGCTCAGCACACCCTCCACCTCGGTGGTGGAGACGTTCTCCCCACGCCAGCGGAAGGTGTCCCCACTGCGGTCCCGGAAGTACATGTAGCCCAGCTCATCCATCACCAACACGTCACCTAGCAGAGAAGGGGAGAGCAGGAGGTGAGACGGCAGCCTGCCATCCCTACAGCCAGCCCCCAGGGTCTGCACACCTGAGAGGTAGGCGCTGTCGCCCTTTTGGAAGACGCTGTGGGCGATCTTCTTGCTGGTGGCGCTCTCGCTGATGTAGCCATCGAATCGACGCAGTGGGTCCTGCTGGTTGATCTGGCCCACAAGGAGGCCGGGCTCCCCTGGGGAGGAAGCTGCACTCAGGTTGCGCTGGGCAGGCAGGGGATAGAGGCCCCAGCGCCCTGGGGGACTGGGTGGGCCCCGACTCACCGGCCTGACACGGAATGCAGAGGCCCTGGGCATCCCGCAGGAGTTCCATGGTGTCCTCATTGACCTTCACCAGCCGGATGGGGTACACATGGGGCAGGATGCGGCTGTTGAAGCCACAGGAGCCGACCTGGGATGGGGGTAGACTGAGTCAGCAAAGAGCCCATGGCAGCCCAGCGTCCTCCCCCACCCCCGACACCTTGCCTTTCCTGCCCCAGGGTCTGGAATGAGCACCCTGAATGTCACCCCAACTCTGTGACCTTGAGGGATCTGAAAAAGGGGGGTATCAAGTGCAAGTTGCCCCACCAGGCCTCATGCCCAGCCTCCCACCTTCCCAGCCGCCCACCACTTCCTGGTCCATAAAACTCTCTGCGGCAGGTAGTGGGGACTCTGGCACAGCTTCTGCCCACTGCCTCTGCGCGCCCCGCTGCCTGGCTCAGCCTCAGGAGCAGAAATGCCTGACTACTGGGCGAGTGCTGCCGTCTGGGGTTGGCACACCGCTGCGGCGCAGCCTGTTAGCACGGCCCGAGTGTCCTCTGGGCTGTCCGGTCAACTGACACACACAGTTGGAGCCATCGTGTTCTCAGGTGCTGGGGACCCAGCAGCCTGCCAGACAGAAAGAATCCCGGCCCCCCGCGCTTGCTCTGTTATTATTGTCCTTATCCCTCCCGGGCGGGGTGGTGGGGCGCCAGGGGCTTGATGAGGAGGCAGGAGGAAGAGGCAGAATGGAGATGCTAACAACTGCTAATCATGAAAGCATCTGTCTGCGGAAAGCCTGCCAAGGTGGGGCCCTGTGCTGACCTCTTGATGTCGGGTGAGTAGAACAAACCCAATGAACTGTTACCCCCTTCTATAAATGAGGAAACTCAGGCCCAAGGAGCCTGCCTGGCTCGCTCAGTAGGAAGTGATGAGCACCCCAACCTCGTCCTGGGGTCCCGCAGAGCCCTGCTCTCCCTTGCAACCTCTGAAGATGGAAACTGAGGCTCAGAAAGGCCGAGGCACTTGCCTGGGGCACACAGCGCTACCGCGGACTGGAACTCAAGGGTGACAGTCACATGACAAACTGCATACTGGAGGAGGGTCCCCGCGCGCCCGGGGTGCCGGGAGCACCCCTCGCCTGCCCCAGGCGCCCTCCAGCCCGAGACCCGCCCGGGCCAGCCGGCGCCCCCACCTTCCCGTCCACGTTGGCGATGCTGCAGTTGCACTCAGTGGCGCCGTAGAACTCGCCGATGTGGCGCACGCCGAAGCGCTCCGCGAACTCCTCCCAGATGGCCGGCCGCAGCCCGTTGCCCACGGCCAGGCGCACACGGTGCCGCCCCTCCGCCTCGCGCACCGGCTGCCTCAGCAGGTAGCGGCAGATCTCCCCGATGTACTGCACCACCTGCGGGGGGAGCGGGCGCTGGGCGGCCGCCGGCGTGGCGGCTGCCCGACCCCGGGTCGCCCCCGAACTGGGCGCTAGGAACCAAACGGCCTTACGGATGATGGTGGCAGCGGAACAGCCAGGCCCTTTACTCCTCTCCGCTCGCTCAGTCCTGGCGAGGGGCCTGGAAGTGCCTTCCCTCGAGCGCACGCATCGGACCCCCCACGCCCCTCCGCGGTCCCTCGATCCCCCCACGCCGCTCCCTGGGGACATCGCGGGCGCCGCACGCAGGGCAGGAAGGCGACCCTCAGCCCAGAGCCTGGGCCACGCAGCCCAGGCCGCCCACCGCGCCGCCCCGGGGCGGGCACCGCTCTCAGGAGCGTGCTCTAGGGCGCCTCCCCGAGGTCCGCAGAGGGACTGAGGCCAGTGGCCCACAGAGTCACCTGTTCAGTGGCGCCTCCTGCAGGGCTCCTTCCCTCCCGGTCTCACGGCGCCAACGCCCTGGGGTCATCTCCAGGACACCTCAGGTGCCCTTGAGTCCTCCTCACTGGGCTGGCTTCTGAATGATTACCCTCCCCATTTTACAGATGGGGAAACTGAGGCTCACAGACAGTAAGTAAACTGGACCTGGGCTGATAAGTGGTAGAATTCCATCTGAATCTGGGCATCCTGGCCCCAGAGCCGGAGTGAAGCAGTTACATGCTCAGAATTAACTGACATGTTGATCATCACAGCTTCAGAGTGCTCCCAGCTCCCCTCACTCACAGGAGGAAGGACACATCTCTGCCTGGGGCCAACTCCATCTGGCCCCTGCCCTCACTGCCTCTCCCTCCATCTCTCACGCTCACTCAGCTCTGCCACACCCAGCTCCTCCTCAGGGCCTTTGCACATGCTGTGCCCTCTGCCTAGAACACTCTTCCCCTGGATGTAGCTGGGCCCTCAGGTCTCGCTGAGAGGTGTTCTCTGAGCAGGCACTTGCTCAGTATCTGATGAATAAACAAACGTACAAACTCCCACCCCTACCCCCACCAAGCACAGAACTCATCTGTTGAATCCTCCCAACTCTGCATGTTGACTCATCTGTTGAATCCTCCCAACACTGCATGTTGGAGATGGAGGCCCTGAGACCCAGAGACGGGGAGCAGCCTACCCAGATCACTGTCTACTGGCGAGGAGGTAAGCCCAGGGTGGGGCAAGATCAGAACTGGGTGGTGGTAAGTTCTCTCCCTCTGCCTCCAGGACCCCCACCCCCACCCCAGATGCCTTGGGTGTGGTCCAGCCCATCTTATCTCCAAGACAGAACACGTGACACAGCCTGGCCAATAAACCCAGTCCATTCCCAGCCACTCATCCTTCATTCAAGGATGACCATGTGACTAGAGCTAGGCCAATGAGAATCAGCCCTGGGACTTTTGATGGACTAGTAGGAAGAGAGACTCTTTCTCTACTAGAGCTGCTGGAAACCTTCCTAGAGAGGCAGAGGTAGGGAGGAAGCTGCCCACTGAGAAAGGAAGAAAACAAGAAATAGAGAGAGCTTGAGGCCCACCTGGATCAAGCTATGCCTGAAGCTGTCACTGTGTGGCCTCCTCAGTTCCATGAGCTAATAAATCCCTTTCTTTAGGAAAGTCAGGGTTTAGGTTGGGGTTGGGGTTTTGGTTCCTTTCAACTGACAAAGTCCTGCTTAAATACAGAGCCACTTTCCAGGCTGCCACCAGGTAGTCCCAGCCATGCTCTGAACAGCTCTCACTGTCCTCTTCAGAAATCAGACCGGGAGAGGGACAACCTACCTGTGACCAAGGCAGCTGATGGTGACAATGGTGCTGCCGTGGCCACGTCCACACACTGAGAGCAAACAGCTGAACTTTACCTCTGGCCTGGACCCTCAGACAGACCCAGGGCTGAGGGGAAGACAACTTGGGTCAGCTGAGACAGGCAGACACCGGGTGCCCCGTGCCATGACATCCAGTCTGCAGGGCCACACCTGGACAGGAGCTGGGAGCAGATCAGCGACCAGGATGCCCACTACGACTCCCCTGTCAGGGTGCACCCCGAGCGCACACACTCGAGTGGGTGTGGGAAGACAAAGGTGCCCACGGATGAGGATGGGCTGAGTCGCCAGTTGTGTGCCCATCTGCCACCTCCCGGGAGGATGGCTAGACTGCGGGCCAGGGCCTGAGGCCGCTGCAAAAGAAACAGCAGCCCAGCAGTCTCCCCATCCCACGGCCATGAGGCGGGAATCGGAACCAAGTGCATCTCGTGTGTTCTCGGCATCCTTGTTAAACTCGACCTTGGAGGAGCCCGTCCTCCATTCCTTAAACAGCATCTCATTGTTTACTGCGTGCCTTCTCTTGGACACAGAAATTCTGCTTCTAGGAAACAGAATGAATCATCAGGAGCCCGGAGACAGGGAACAGCACCCGAGGCAAAGTGGTGTGTGAAGGACAGAGAGAGAGGGACTGCCAGACACCACGGGACTCCCAGTGGGAGCACACAGCACAGCCCACAAAGAATCCTTGCCAAAAAAGTTGAATTTGAAGCTGATCAAATATCTAGACTAGGAGTTCTCAACCACGGTGGTTCTGTCCCCCAGGAACACTTGGCAATGTCTGGACACATTTTAGCTGTCCGAGTTGGAAGGTGGGGTGATAGCGGCATCTAGTGGTTTGAGGCCACGCACGCTGCTCAACACCCTGTGGTGCCCAGGTCGGCCCCCACGGCAAGTGATCCGGCCCCAGATGTCCTCAGCGCCGTGGCTGAGAAACGCTGTGCTGGACCCGGCTCCCCACGTACAGAAGACCCCAGAGACGGAGGAGCGCGTGAAGGGGTGCTCCGCAATACCCAACCCGGCAAAGCACTGCAGGACACACACCACCATCTCCTCCACAACAAATCAAGAGAGAGGCGAGACAGAGACACAAGGGGCGCCTGCAGACAAAAGGATGCTGATAAGGCACATCCACCAGCCACAATGTGTGGGTCTTATCTCTCTATTGGTTTTTTAGATTATAGAAGCAAAGGAAAAAACACATTTTTGACATGGTGAGACACGGGACTGGGTCACTGCCCAGGTTCTTGATGACGCCGAGCAATCGCTGTCACTTTTGGGCTGTGAGGGTGGTACTAGGGTTATGGTTTTGTTGTTTCTTTTTTTTATTATGTTAAAATACATATAACATACAATTTACCATATTAACCATTTGTAAGTGCACAGTTCAGGGGCATTAAGCACATTCACACTGGTGTGCGGCCATCTGCACCATCCACCTCCAGAACTTGTTCTTCCCAAACTGAAACTCTGTCCCATTAAACACTCACTCCCCCTGCCCCAGCCCCTGGCACCCTCCATCCTACTTTCTGTCTCTGTGAATCTGACTCCTCTAGGGACCTATATAAGTGGAATCACACAGTATCTGTCCTTTGGTGACTGGCCTATTTCACTGAGCACAGTGTGCTCAAGGTTCATCCATGTTGTCACACGTGTCAGAAGTTCCTTCCTTTTTAAGGCTGAATGATATTCCACAGTACGGATGGACCCCGTTGTGTTTATCCATTCATCAATCGATGGACACTTGGGTTGCTTCCACGTTTTAGCTACTGTAAATAATGCTGCAACGAACATGGGTGTGCAAATATCAATTTGAGACTCTGCTTTGAATTCTTTTATTTTGAAACCAGTCCTCACAGACAGACACAAAAAGTCACATATTCTATGTCTATGAAACGTCCAGAACAGGCAAACCCAGAGACAGAAAGCAGATTAGTGGGTGCCAGGGGCTGGGGGTGGGGGATGGGGAGGGACTGCTCACTGCTCATGGGGATGGGGTTTCCCTCTGGGGTGTTGAAATGTTCTGGAACTAGATAGAGGTGGTGGTTGCACAACATTGTGAATGTGCTAGATGCCACTGAACTGTTCACTTTAAAATGGCTAATCTTACGTTACATGAATTTTATCTCAATTAAAAGAAAAAAACCAGTCCTCATCTTTCAGTTTTCCTGAAACACCTATGCAGGAAACACTGCTGTCTGGGGGCTGCCTCACCACGATGCAGAAGGAAGGATGCGGGGGGCAGGACTGGGTGTCTGATGGCTCCTGGGGCCAGTGACGGGTGCTCGGCGACCCCTATACTTTCTGTCCACGTTTATGTACGTTTGCAACTCTCAATAATTAAGTTAAAAAAGCCAGACTGTTTTGCATTTCAAGATTCAAATTAGCGATTTTCCCCAAGACCCCTCCCAGCAAAACAGAAATCCACAAAAGTGGAGCAGAGCACCGTCTTCACCCCAAGAGGCGCCCTAGGATGCCCAGGGCCCGGCCCGCGTGGCTGTGTGACCCGGGCAGGCGGCTGGACTTCTCTGGCCCCACCTGCCCACGTGCCAGTCCCTGGACACAGCCCGTTCTCTGCCCTCCACAGCCCTGCTCTTCTGCAGGCAGGCGCTAGCACTGTGTTCCCAGCCTTCCCCGGCCTGCTCTCCAGGACAGTGGATGGGCTCCACTCCGTGCATCCGCTCCCCACCGGGAAGCCCTAGGGGCGCCTTGTGGGCTTAACCCGCCCCGGTGCCGACCACACCCACTCCTCTGCGTCCCTGCAGCCACCAGCAGAGAAAACCCTCGGGGCACAGGACTTCGGGGGCTCAGGCCGCCTGTGCACAATCCCAGCTGCACCCCAAGCCCCAGTGTCCCCACCCACAAAATGGATGTGCCGCCTCTGCCCCCTCCCAAGCAGGTAACAGGATCCAATGAGTGCACACGTGGAAGGTTTGTCCCCGCCCACAGCAGGCGCTGTGGGGCTGGGGCGGGGGGAGGCTGACCGTGCAGTTGTGCTGGACGCAGTCGTCCCAGAAGCGGCTGGCCGAGAACTTCTTGCGGAGGACGACGGTGAGCCCATAGATGAGGCACTGGCCCACACCGACGATGTTGCCTGCAGAGGGCGGCTCGGTGAGGGGTCCTGGGGACTCCAGGCCCCCCCACCCCACCCCCTCGCCGGAGCGCCCACCCACCTGCCGAGTGGTAAAGCGGCAGGCAGTCGTAGAGCACGTCCGCCGGCCGCATGCTGTAGGCGTGATGGCTGAATGCCGCCATGCGGTAGAACCTGCGGGAGCAGGGGTACAGGGCTGGCACCTACATCGCCGAGGGCATGGGGGGGCGCGTGCTGGGACCTGGGGACACAGCAGGGACCCAGGCAGCGCCAGCTGCGGGTGGGAGAGGAGCGTGCAGCCGATAGCGAAAATAACTGTCGATGGTACTAGGTGCCATGAGGACTATAACAGGGAGAAGGGACAGAGGGGCTGAAAGTGACACAGCCAGGGAGGTTAGGGTATCTGGTCTGGGGAGGTGACACATGAGCTGAGACATGGTGAGAAGGAGCTGTGGGGGCGAGCTAGGGAAGGGCGCCCAGCAGAGGGCACAGCACATGCAAAGGCCCTGAGGCCAGAAGGAACCTGGCAGGTTTGAGGAAGGAGGAGGGGTGGAGAGGAGGAAAACAGCACCAGAGACGTGGCAGGGGCCACACAACGAGAGTGTGGGTTTTATTCTGAGGGCTAAGGTGGGCACAGGACGGTTTGGGCACAGGTGAGGTGGGATTTAAGATTTTAAACCTTCTGTAGCCCCTGAGGGGAGCAAGGCCGTTGGGGGCAGGAGTGGGGGCAGCAGGAGGCCAAGGATGGGCACAGGGCAGCACTGTGTCCTGAGATGGGCTGGGGTTTTACCAGACTGGGATCGGGAGGCCCACAAGACCCCAACAGGAGCTGTGGGAAGGGGTCAGGCTGTAGAGACCACCGGGAGTCACTCTCCAGGGCTGGGGGCAATGCCCATGGGCCCCTCACCTGCTGTGCACGACGATGGCGGCCTTGGGCAGCCCCGTGGTCCCTGACGTGTAGATGTAGAAGAGTCGGTCTGCAGGAGACGCGAGGGTTGGGGACTGGGGGCTGGACGGGTGGGACTGGCGAGGGCGGGGGGCGGGCCACCCTGGACTCACCGTCCATGCCCTTGCAGGGGGGCTGTGCCAGAGGGGCTGTGGAGGCCTCCTTCAGCAGCGGGTCCAGGAGCTGGGTGTCTGGCAAGACACCCTCAGGCCCCAAGTCTCCAGAGCAGAACTTGAGCAGGCTCTTCCCCAGCTGTCCACTGACCTCGGCCACCGCTGCGGCCCGAAGCATAGCGCATGGTCACGGACAGGCAGCCCCCCAGGCCTAGGGTCACCACCTCCCTGCCCCCGGCAGCCCCAGGCCCCCCCGAGACGATGCCCGCACCCCACCTCACCCGCCGTCAGCTCCCCTCCGAAGACCAGGGCCTTGGCACCCGAGGCGCCCAGGCAGAAGGCCAGGGGCTCGCGCCGCAGGTTAACGTTGAGCAGCGCGGCCTCCACGCCCGCCTTGGCCAGGCCCAGCCACAGCCCCACAAACTCAGGCCTGCCCTCCAGGAAGATGGCCACCACGTCACCCGGCACAAAGCCCAGCTGGCGGAAGAGGTTGGCCACGGCGTTGGAGTAGGCGTCCAGCTGCGCGAAGGTCCAGCTCGCCCCACTGGCCGCATCCACCAGGGCCAGGCGCTCGGGCTGCCGCCGTGCCACCACCTGGAAGATCCGCGGGATGGTGTGGCAGGCACGCTGGTGCCGCCGCAGTTCCAGGCGCACGCGGATCAGCACGGAGAGGCCGCTGAGGAGGGGATGGAGGGGACGGCGTCACCGGGCGCCCTGCCCGGCCTCCTGGAGACCGCCCCAAGCCTCGGCATCCCCATCTGGAGAAGGCGGAGGAAAAGGTCCCTGCACCCCCCGGGCGGCGAGGGTTCCAGGAGGACCTTTTGGTTGCTGGGTCTCTCGGGGCACTAAGGGCAAAGGGCCATTTACCAACCGGCCAGGCTACACACTGTAAAGCAGTCACCCTGTCCTCCACCCCAGTTTGCTCGGCGACTCTGAGGGAGCCAGGGCCCTGTCCTATCCTTGTTTCTCTCTCCTGGGATGTCCCGACCGCTCTACCCTGACCCCCTACCGCCTCCAGCCCGGACGCCTCGTGCTCTGCCTACCCCGACAGGCCCCAGGGTCCGGCCCTGAGCTGCGCGGCTGCCCCACCCCCAGGTCACTGGATGGCACTAGGCACAGATGGCTGAACCGTCCAGCACATGCGCCCCCCGGCCCAGGGGAGGGGCTGCCTCTGCCCCAGGGGGGACCAGGAGACCTGCTGGTGAGAGGCCCTGGTGGCAGGTGTCTCACTCCCCTGCCCCACCTGCCAGTGGATGCAAGGGCATCGGAGGCCGTAGGGGGCAGCAGAACCCTGTGGAAGGAGCCAGGTCCCTGAATGACTGTGCAGGTGAGCAGCCGCCACTGACACCAGGCTGTTAGATGAGTGAGACAAGAACTTTTCTTGCTGTTTGAAGCCAACAAAAATTGCTTGAGATCACAGAACCAAGAAATCCAGGGTATCTCGGTGCAGGAGCTCAAGCAATGCGAAGTCTCCCTGCTCATCTGGCTCCCTGCCCTGCATGCCAGCCCCTGGCTCTGAGAGGTAACCTAGTGCTGGGGGATGCACTGACAAGCGGGGGCCTGTTTGTCACAGCAGCTGGCTCTGCCCTGACCTCGCATGGTCTCAACTCTGCCCCACTTCGGCCTCAGCTGGCCACCGTGTCCCAACAGTTTCAGTGACCACTTGTTATCAAACCCATCCTTTGCCCACCCCCACCCCCCACCCGCTGCTGCCTCCCCTGTGCCTCCTTGATTTCCTGCAGTGGCTTCCTCACAGCCCTGGACTCGACAGTCCCCAGCAGACCTCAGCACTGACATTCACTCGTTCCCTCCCTCCTTCATGCATGCAGGCAGCCAGTGTGGACCAGCACCTACTATGTGTTGGGTCTTGGCTCAAAGATGACCAGATCCACCACCCAGGGGCTCACAGTCCTCCCAGGAGAGAGACCCCCTCCATGTACATGAACGAGCGTGAGGGAGGTACTGAATGGTGACAAGGCCCTGATGGGCAATGCAGTCACAGTGACATGGGCCGGGGCGGGGGCAGGGAAGGCCCTCCAGAGAGGCAGGCAGGTCAAGTCTGAGCAGGGCCTCAGAAAGCAAAACGGAGTGGCCGTGGGTGTGAAGCCAGGGGCACAGCCAGTGCAAACGCCCTGGGGTGGGGATGGGCCTGGGGAACAGGGAGCATTTAAGAAGCAGAGCAGAGGCAGTGTGGTGGGGATCGGACAAGAGGGTGGCGAGGTCCTGGGTGGGCAGGCAGAGTCTGTCAGAGGAGAGGATGGACGGGGTCCACACAGCTGCCTACACCTAGAGGTTTTAAAAACAAGGGGTCAGGGTTCTGATGAGGTTTATGAGACTTCCTGCTTGGGTCAAGCCGCTTACCCTGGGGGCCCCGGGAATGCCCTCCAGCTGCCCCCAGGAAGGGACCAGGGCTCTGTGGCCCTTTGGACCCCACTCAACTTTAGCACCCTCACACATGCCACCTGCCAGCACACTGAGCTATGTGTAGCCCCCCATGCCTGGCCATTCCCTGGGGTCCTCCCAGCCTCCTCACCACCTCCTCCAGGAAGCCTTCCAGGGATCGGCAGGCTGTACCGTGCTCACTGCTCCCCCATTACAGCAGAGATTCCCACAAATGGGTCTGGGCTCAGGGAATGTTCCCTTGTCCACCCCGGGAGCCCTCCCTGCCTGCCTATACTCCCCCATCAAAGACCCTGTGCAAAGCCACCCAGTCATGGGTCCGCTCCCCCCTGGGCTGTGAGCGCCCGGGGAAGTGACATCTGTGTCGGTCGAGGAGCCTGGCATGTAATGGGCGCTCGGTACACAGAGAGCAGGTGACTGTGTCCACGCCCCTGAACCTGCAGCCCCATGTGCCTTCCCTCCCAAGCAGCCAGCACATAGGCACAGACTCTTCCATTCATCCCCCAAACGGTGAGCACCTACTGTGTGCCAGGCCCATGCTAGGTGAGACCCAGCGGTGACCAGGACAGACCCTCCACCCCCTTCATCTTCCCCCCAATCCATCTCCCTCTCCATCCTCCCCCTCACTCCCTCACTCTAGCCACGTGGGCCTCCTCGCTGTTCCCTGAACACATCCAGCATGCTCCCACCTCAGGGCCTTTGCACAGGCTGTGCCCTCTGCCTAGACCACTCTTCCCCCCACATCCACATGGCTCCTCTCCCACCTCCGTCAGGTCTTGCCTCAACTGCAGCCCTCTCAGGTGGCCATTCCTGGACCCAAGTCTGCTCCTGCACCACCTCCTGCCCTCCCCTCTTTGGTCCCTGCTTTGTTTTTCTCACCTCGGCACTCATGGCCTTCAAACGCCATATGCAGTTTACTCAGTTACTGTATCGCCCCTGGGCTCTCTCCCTGCTCTGGGTGGAAGGGGACTCACGTCTGTCTCATTCTAGGCCCTGGAGGGACAGCAGTGGAGGACGTGCAGTGAACCCCATGGACAGTCTTGGAGGGAGAGAGAGCTGTCTGGGGCTCCCGGACCAGGCCTGACCCCTGCAGCCCGAGGGAGCACTGCCCAGGCCTGCCCGGATGCTTGCCGAGAGCGGGGGCAGCCACACATGGGCAGGGTCTCGGGGCAAGGCCGCCCTGCGGAGGGGCCAGGCACAGGGACAGACGTGAGGAGCGAGGACAAGGAGTCCTGGCGGCCTCGCCCACGAGGCCCCTCCGGGTGCCACCCTGTTACTCGGGGTAGCTGACGAGCTCCACGTAAACCACCGCTTCCAATCAGAGAGGTCAGAGCCTCCGTGTGCAGCGGCCAGGGGAGAGCGCCTGGGAGAGGCAACGTCCTCCGCATCTGACCAGGAGCCCAGCACGTGGTGGGCGCTTGGTACACAGAGGCCGGAGGCCTGTGTCCACGCCCCTGGCCCAGAGCCCGGCACAGAGGCACACTCTTCCATTCATCCCCCCAAGGGCGAGCACCCACTGTGTACAGGTGACCCTGATCCGGGTGAGAAGTCCGATCACAGGGGCAAGGGCGGCATGCTGACAGCTAACGGGCAGGAGGGGTCTTCTGGGGAGACGGGAAGGTTCTGTATCTTGATGGTCGTGGTCACCTGGGTGTGGATGTTTGTCAGAAGCCCAACTGTACACTTAGATCGGGTGCATTTTATTCTATGTAAATTACACCTCAAAAACAACCCCTGAAGACAGAGCGGATTGGTGGGTGCCAGGGGCTGGGGGAGGGGGATGGGGAGTGACTGCTCATGGGGACGGAGTTTCCTTTTAGGGTGATGGAATGTTCTGGACCTAGACGGAGGAGATGGTTGCACAACATTGTGAATGTACTCAATGCCACTAATGATAAATTTTATATTACGTGTATTTTACTACAGTAAAAATGAGTGAATGAACGAAACCCATGAAGACTGTATTACAGCAAAGTTGAAAAGGGGAGTCCTTGGCTCCCAGAAATACACTCTGGAAAACCAACAGAAGAAGGGATGTGCCATGGGGTCAGACAGAGGAGGGAGTGGGTGGACACGAGGAGACATGCGTGCGCTCATGGAGGCTGGGAGACGGGCACATGGGCTCGTTACGTTCTCTCTGCTTCTGTAGGCTTAGAAATTGCCATAATAAAATGTTCTTCAAAAAATAATGTTTTTGTTTTTGTTTTTTGGTGAGGCAGATTGGCCCTGAGCTAACATCTGCCAATGCTCCTCTTTTTGCTGAGGAAGACTGGCCCTGAGCTAACATCCGTGCCCATCTTCCTCCGCTTTATATGGGACGCCGCCACAGCATGGCCTGACAAGCAGTGCGTTAGTGCGCGCCTGGGATCCGAACTGGCGAACCCTGGGCCGCCGCAGCAGAGCGCGCACTTAACCGCTTGCACCACCGGGACGGACCCCCAAAAATAATGTGTTAACCCTCTGAAGGTTCCCACTGTTTCCCATCTCTGTGGCCCGTGAGGCCCTGCACGGCCTGGCCCCATCATCTGCCTGCCTCCTCACCCTCCATTCCCCTAGCTTGCTCTCACCTCCTTCCCACATCTTCAGCACAGCAAAGGTTCCTGCCCCAGGGCCTTTGCCCATGAAGTTCCACTGCCCCAGGCCCCTCATGGCCTCCTTCTTATCCTTCACCTCTCAGCTCCACTGTCGCCTGCTGAGAGAGGCCCTCCCAGCTCCGCCCAGTTTGGATCACTGGGACTGTTTTAAAATACGCCTGCAAACTCTCTGACGGTCCTCCCTTCAAAGTGGGTTCGATTCCCCCCTTGAGTGTGGGCAGACTCGGGGACTCGCTTCTAAGGAAGAGAAAGTGGCAGGAGTGACGCTGTGTGACCTTGGGGACTGGAGCACGAAGAGGCTACACCCCTCCCTGGCACGCAGGCCTGCTCGTGCTCTCCGGACACTGGCCCTGGAACCCAGCGCCGGCCTGTAAGGAGGCCCAGACCACGTGGAGAGGCACATACGACTGTTCTGGCAACACGTCGAGGGAACGAGACTTCAGGTGATTCTCGTCCCAGATTTTGCGTCTTGCAGCTGACGCCCCAGACACGGCAGAGCAGAGACAAGGTGGCGACATCTGAACTCCTGACCCTCAGAAGCCCCTGGAGGTGACAGTGGCCATTGCTTTGCCCCCAGGCTCTGGGCAGCTCGTCCGCAGCCGTGGGGACTGATGCCCTCCGGCCCATTTCACCCCTTCAGAGCGAGCCTCACAATCCAAACGGCGGTCTGCCTTCAGTGTTT